ATGCAAATAATAAGAAGATCAACGGAACACCTACTATAATAATCTACAAAACAAATATAATAAATGAAAAACTTGCATTAAAAATATAGAGTAGTTTTAAAGATAAAAAAACCCTGAAGATGACGCTATGCATTGAAACATGTAGTAGTATATAGCGCAATACTGTAACATCGTAATAACGATGAATAGCGCAAAATATCAATATTAATTTTAAATTTTAACATCAATAATTTAAAGTTTGTGTATAGACTTGAATTATATTATATATTTGAATAGAATATTATTCTGATTATTCTGTATGCCTGTGTTTTCTGGACCTTGTTCATGGCATTCACATTCACATGCCATCTTATAATGTTTTTTGTCATTCATTATCATTTTCTAACATTGATATAACCTGATCACTGGTGCTTACACACTTGTAGTTATTCTGACTTACCTTGTCCAGTGATTGAGATTAGCTCATTCTAACGGACCCCACAGAGCAAGTGCCCTACCTACATACAAACACCTGTAGGCTAGGTCAGACTCAGTCCTCAATACGTAGTGTGATTTAATATCATCAGATGGCGGATAAGTTTAAAAAAAATTGCAATACAGATTTTTCAATTTCATTAACTGCATTTCCATTATAAAAATAAATGTACTTAAACCATGAAATAAAATGAGTCTTCACGCCCTGTTTTATATAATCTGTCGAGAGCAAACTAAAGCCAACGCAAGCACAAATACACATGGGTATGTGAGCAAAGGCTTGCTCATTTACCCTCTCTCAAATTAACTTAGCCACAAGATGGCTGGTTCATGTTATAGATGTGAAGTGTTTGATTTCGTTTAATACAATGAAGCATAACTGTAATGTGGACCATAGTATACCTGCCCTCTGTGTATGTATTATCATCATCTTAGTCAACACCATATCCTTGATCACACAACAAATAATAGAGCACATGATTAAAAGATCACACAAGTCACATACCACATTATGGTCTTGTTCTTCGCTAAAGCCATCCACAAGCTTGGTTAAAATCATGCCTAAGTTATCTATTCTGTCTTCTATCTCCTCAACCTTCTTGAATAGTTCATAGATGAGAGGAGGCATCTAGAGGAAACGAAAATGGATACAGTAGCATCAAAATGTCAAATAAAACCTTTAAATATTGAATGATTTGGAAACTGTAATCTTCACATTGTGGTATAAAGGAATTTATTTTGGAAGAAACTTTAAAAAAAGATGAACAAAATATAAATGTTAATACTCGGATTACCAAGATATTTCAGAGGGAAGGAACTAAATGTCATGTTCATTTTCTAAGATTTTTCATAATGGAGACCTAGACCGAGGTGGAAACAAAAGGTTAGTAAAGATGTCAAGCAGGGGGAAGCATGAACATTGGAAGCAACTGAGGAGGAACATATGCTGTGAAGAGGCAGAGATGAAGACTCTTGGTTGTCATATGACCGACCTAAAGTAGAAGCATCTTTGGAGTAATACGAATTATGATTTTTCTACATTCATTGCAAGTATACAATTCACAGGCTAAATGAAAAGAACTTTAGGAGTTAAACTTAGGAAAAGCACCAAATTTCATGTTCCAAAACATTCACATTAAATAAGATATGCATGTTGATTTTCATTCAAACTTAGTGGGGGAAAAAACAAGCTTCGATGTAGTCGACTCACCCTCTCAGTCAGTTTTGGACGTAATTTGTTAGTATTCTTTATTTCCAATACATACATTTCATTTCCCTGTATTCAGTTATATTTACACTTGGGTGTCAGATATTCTGACAGCTTTTCTTTAACCAACAATCCCTTAGATGTTATTATTATTTATTATTAGTGTTCTGTCTGACGACAGGTCCATATGAACAGGATCCTTCCATCCTTTTCTCGGACTGGGACCTGTTCATATACGTTCTTGGCAGATGATCCAGAAGTGGTTTGCCACTGCCTTCTTCTGTGTGTGAATGGAGTAATTGTTGGGATGCCACGGAGGAAAACTCCGTGTTGCCTAGACCACGGCCTTGCCCAACACAAGTTATAAATTCAGGCACCGCCGGGAATCGAACCCGAGACCCCAGGATTACAAGGCCAGCGTTCTGACCGCTAGACCACCGATGTTATACTGGTAAATAATGACGACAAAAATGTGTGAACAATGTTGCATGTTCCAAGCACTGCTGCCAAGTGCATTAATGTTACAATCATTGACAATGATTGTTACTTCCACATAATTTTATCACAGTATCTTTCCATGAGCCAGGGTTACTATCAACATCAACATGATCATTATTATTGTTGTCGCTATGGACATTACTTATCAGACTCAAATACATTACTCTGAAAACATTGACTGATATAACACTGTGAAAAATAGCATGCTAAGTTGCACAAACAAGCACTAGTGCCAACTGTATGAAACTTTACTTATATTCTATCATCTTATACAGACAGATCCAATCAGATGAAGTTGTTTCATTCAAAAATTTGTGAACTGCTGTATGAAAGGGAAACAAACGAAACACTAAAGCCTTAAAAAATGCAGAGAGGAAAGCAGCATTTAAGCACTCTTTTCCATTCAGTATGGTATATGGCTTACCTCTACATCAACATTCTCCCCTCCGGTGGCCATCTTTTTTCAAATAAATTTCTTGATTGAGCGATATATCTCTGAAAGCAAACCAATGTTTACAATGCAAACAACAGCTTCTTTACAACTACTTAAAATGCAAAGAGGATGTACAGCCTTTGACACAACTTACTTTGTAAAAGCAGTATCTTTCAGATGCAATTTGTTAGTGAACTAAAGATTTTCCTGCTCTTTGTACACTTGTTTATGTCACAAGTTAGTTGTTGCTATGATACAAAACAACAACATTATTAAACGGTTGAAGTACATCATTGTTTCACAAAACAATCTCTTTGTTACCATAGCAAAAATGATTTGAATAATAAACAAATAGTAAGTTTAATGCACATGAAACTAATCACACTCTATTCTAACAATAAAATGATATGATAGATCTTTGTAAATTCTGGCAAGACTCCTGTCATATATCTGCAAACTTCACTGTATTTGGTGTGGATGAGTTCACCAGCCCTGGGAGAATGATATGCACTATCATGTTCCAACACTATCTGTAGCAGAGATAGGAAATTCTGCATAAGAGCAGCTACACTTTCTTTACTGGCTCTGATCACTGCAGTAAAAATTTCTTGTCGTAGTTCCTTTGCTGTGCGAGAATTGTTTTTGTAAATTGTGTCTTGCACAAAGCCCCACAAGACAATCACATGTGTTCAGATCTTGAGAGTAATGTGGCTGACTACCCATACCAAAACCATTCAGGAAAAATGATTACTCAATATTCTGTTGACAAAATGATCATTGACCATGACAACAATTCATTCACATTATGTTCTAAAATTGTGTCTCCAGAATTCATACCCATTCCTTGGAGAATAGAGGAAAATCTTCTTGGAGGACACAGTGATAACAATCAGTGGCCATATTATCGCCAAAGAAATTGATGACATAACGCACTACAGACCCTGAATTTTGGGGATATAACAACGTCTCCATAGTGTTATGCTGATGTTCACTGTCCCACACAAGCATATTCTGGTTATTCACTTTGCCAATTACCAGTTTCTTGATGATGAAGTGTCAATGAAGAACATCTAAGTCATTACAGAAGTCAACTTCCCTGGCTTATCGGCCAAATGGAGGGTTTGCTGCAGTCTAATTCTGTATGGACAAAGCTTCACGTCTCAAATTATTCTGTATGGCATCAATGCTCCCAAGCTGAGTTGTTTTGAAAACGTTTTACAGATTTTCCAGAACTCTGTGTCAGTGCATGGTGATCAGGGTTAATGTTATATGGTGTTCTGACAGGCATCTTATCAACAACAGAGAGCTTATTATACATCACACTCCAAGTTACTTCAAACTTAAGCAATTATGTTTCTATTGCACACATACTTCGTGCTTTCATGCACTCAAATTTCACACTGAATTGTGATAGCATCAAGAAACTGGTAAAAAATTATACAAAAGAACACATTCCTCCATTATGTACACCATCTTTAATCTTGCTTCATCAGTATGTTTTGCAATGTGTAATGATGATGAAACTGAGTTTATAATTTCAAGTATACGTGTTAATGATTTCTGCATAATGTTAAAAACCCAATTCCTTCAAATAACTAAAAATCTTTAATCTTTTACCCTAAATAAATTTAAGATATCAATATAATTTATCTGAATGCAGGATGCTGTGTGTCAAGTATTGGATAAAATGAAGAGTACAGAGTAGAGTAGCGAATATGGAATACCTTGCCTTAAGTACTGAAAACAAATTAAAGGGGATAAATTATAGATCTCATTTAAGGAGTTAAAGTTAGACAATTTGATCAACCTTCCATATCAGAAACACTGACACTCTGAAACCAAATAATTTTTACTTTCATTCAGTAGGGAAATATGGAATAAATATGAGTAGTACTTCACAGAACAATAAATGATTTTTGCCCCATAAAACAAAACTATTAGAATTATGGCTAGTTATGAGACCAGGAATTTTGCATCTTTATTTGAATACATATTTTACCCGTGGACTTTGCTTAGGTGAGATCAGTGTATTTTGAATATGCACTTGTCTGTAGGTTTTGTATTCTTATGATTTTATCATACCCTAATGTCCTCGTGAGTAACTTATGAATCCACATATTTTATATTAATAATTAGGTTCATATTGTTATCGTTACGAGCAATACTTTACCTTTGAATCAAGGTTTTGTAACTAGAGCTCCTGTTCTCGTCCACAATCTTCAGATGCAGAATCAACAATGTGGTCTGTTTCATCTTATGTTTGGTTATTGTTTGCTTCAGAAACAATTACCTGTATCATAGCAACATCGATTTTGAACTATAAATAAATAAAGCAAGAAAAGTTGTTCCATGCCACATGATATTTATTACAATTAATTCATATATTTGTGTTTTGCTACTGGTGTTGCCAAGGGAGCAATTTCTTTACAATATTTTTACAAGGCAAAAATAGGCATATTTATTATTTTATATTTGAAGCAAATTATAATAGTGGTGTATTAACCGTAGAATATAGAAAAAATTTACTAGGTATTAAATTGTGGCAGAAAGGCGAAAATTATAATTCTACATTGCATCTTAGAACATTTTCAATTGCACACCACCTTCCAACATAACCTCAACACTTTTGTGTTGTATTATTCAAGTTGCTTCTAAATGCAATAAATAGTCGATTTAAGGAAGATTAATGCTCATTAGACCTGCAATTAAGTATGTTCAATTATACTTTTCGTTATATTTATTTCTATAAATGAGAGAGAAATTTACCTCCACTAGATGAAACCCAAGAAGAACCAATATCATGCTGAGATGCTGGTCCTACTAGTAGATATTTCTTACGTTTATGACCTATCAGTTGGGGCAGTTACAGGGATTACTTAAAATGCATGCACCATGCATCGTGAATGTGAGTTGATCTCAAATCACATCATCATTCTAATTTTAATGAATATATAAACTGATTCAGAAGTTGTTTGTGGTAAAGATATATGGAAAGGCACGAACAGCCATGATGATGCTTTCCATAGTTTGACACAGAAGACTGTGGTTTACCTGCAGTATTTACATAGCAGGAGTGAGAACAATAGCATGGATATTGACAATATCTTCCTGATCACCAACCTGCTTATTCCCAGTTTGCAGTCATAGCTGATGTAAATACAAGGCTTGTTGCTACAGCAGCTGTTGATGATGAGTTCATACTGCCACCAGATGCCCCTGATGTTGAGATCAGTTATGATTGTGATTATGACACACTAGCTCCACCACTACCATTACACATGAGCGTGTTATTGTGAGACTTGTTTTTGATGGTGGCAGTTACTTAAAATTGGCTATTGAATGATCAGCAATGTCCCCATCATTATTATGAGTTTATTTCATATCCTGATAGTTGTGACTTATATATATTTATACTTTAGTTTAGGTTAGTTGCTAGTTACAAGAGAATTCCTTGTATTACACCTGCCACTGAGAAGTTGCCTTTAATTCTAGTATCCCTCATGATGTATAAAGTGTAACCAGCATTCACACTTAATGCACAAAGGAATAACTTTTTATTAGATTCGAATCCAATAACCATATTATTAGAGTATTTACTTCCTATGTATGAAATGATCTTTACATTGCTGCCTGTCCATTAATATTTTGTGTGTATATTTATTTTGTTGTCCCACGATTTTTGATACACAAGCCACAAGATAACTGGCGCACTGTCACTAAAATATAATTAATGTGATAATAAAGTCTTTTATATAATTTTATAACATTGCACACTGCAAGATCCTGGTGTGTTTCATGTCAGAAATTAAGATCTGCGTGTTGAACTATTGTCCACTCTCCTTAACCATGACTCAGAGCAATTCATATCCTATACTGACATCATTGTGCCTAAATTATAAGTTTATAAAGAATATGGGATAAAATTAATAATCACCACTTGAACAACATCCAATGCTACAGTTTCATCTCTTTCTTTTGTAGTTTGCCATTATTCCAGTTACCAGTCTATGAATCTGTAATTCCTTTTTGAATTACTACATACTACAATCTGAATTGTTACTCACGCAAATCAATGTTCTTCTACACACTGAAGTTAATAATTTGTCAAACTCATAAAATATTACCACTTTTAAGAAATACGGTCCGACCGCAGTAGCCACGCGGTCCGAGGCACGATCTTCGTGCGCCTGGCCGCAACAACCAAGAAGACCGTAATCTTCACTCACTGCGGTGAAAACCTCAAATGTTACACAGAAGAATCCTGGTAATCAAGCTCACTGACATCCATTGTACTCACTGAACTATTCTGGCTTTAAAATGACAAAGCACACAATAGAAAGAACATGAGTATGCATTCTTTTAGACTGCTCGATTAATATTTGATTATAGGATGAACTCATTCATTTTACAGCCAGAATTTATCATCCAGTCTTGATCCATACATGTAATAATTACTTAAGGAAACCCTCTTACAAATTATCTTACAATTATGAAGAATTTGTCCACATTTGTTATGGAACCTGCAACAGTAAAACAAAAATATCATATGACTAATATTTTATTGTTTTCAGTACAAGCCTTACAACAACATTCATTTGTAAATTTAACACCATTTAAATATGAACATGAATGTCTTCTGGGATGTTGCAGTATGAACCCTCTTAGAAACACACCCATGTTTCAGAGGTGCTTACTGCAACCATCATCAGGGGCAATGAGTAAGCTGCACATGGAAAAGCATTTGAAGATAAGAAAGACCAGGCCAGACAAATGGATCAAGGCAGAGGATAGACAGAGCAAGGGAGCCATTGAAGGACCTGGGCCACCCCATCCTAGCCAAAGGGGGCAGAAAAGCACGAGCTTCCTACAATATTTCACGGAAGGGATGAGAGTCTTCCATAACCAGCTCAGGCCGAGGTTATCTTCCATGTTCATGAATCTCAGTGCCCTCCATGGTCATCTGGTCCATGTATCGGGATTTGGTGGACAGGATGCCAGGACATCAGTATATGATCACAGAGGCCAATGAAAACAAGACACAACTAGACAACATGAACAAGAAGGATGTTCTCCACCTAAGCCAGTCTTAGAAGCATCTTATCCACTCCTTAAAGGAATGATATCTTGGCCAGTAAGGCACCACTTGTCCACCCCTTCCCTCAATTTGCTTATCCCTATCATCCCTGCACAGTCCATCCATCTGACAAAAATTCATCGCAATGCAGCTTACTCATCGCCCCGATAGTGGAGTCCGGAAGCACCTCTAAATCGCCAGTCAACATCAGTCAACTTTATACTGTCAACAGTGAAACTTGAAATTTTACAACTTTATGAGGTTTTTAATTCATGGAAGCCTGGAGGTGGTGATGCAGCAGTTGCCTTCTGTTCAGAAAAGCTAGATGATACTAAACCCATCCCTTCCTTTTAGGAAGGCCTCGAACATTTTAAACTGATCCGTTCTGTTTAGAGGCGGTTAGATCGTTGCAGGTGGCCTTTTCCCTTTAGGAGCCGGATCTGGTGTTTGGGCCCTTCTGCTTAATCTTGTTTGCGTGTGACTGGGATGATGCTTTCCAATTTGAGTTTGTGTCCGAGATGTCTTCTGTTTAGGAAGCCGTGATGGAGTGGATCCCTTTTGTTTAAGAGTGGCTTCAAGAATTTCACCAGAACCCATCTGTTTAGGAATGCGTCTCTGAGCAGGTCCCTTCGGTCTAGGAGTGTCTGGATGAATTTTAGCAGATCCAGTACGTTTAGGAATGCGTGTCGGAATGGATCTCTTCTGTTTAGGTGGGTGTGCATGCATTTCAACAGATCCCACTGGTTCTTGAAAGAGTCTTTGCACAGCTCCTTTTTGTTTAAGAGGGCCTACACGTGTGTGAGCAGATTTTGGAGAGCCTATTTGATGAGAGACTGGTGTTGATGCTGCTGCGAGAGGTGCACGTCTTGCAGGAGTCAAGAAATATCCCGCTTCAGGTGATACAGGTCTAATGGGAGATACTGGAGGAGAAAATGTTGGTACTTGTGGGTAAAATTCTACCAGTGATGTTCTGATTCTGTCGTGTCCTTTACCAAACATTCTGTCTTGGTATATTCTTCCAGCAATGCCAGGCATATAACCTATTACTGGAGAACTCTGCAGCGGTGAGTACGTCTCTTCCGTTGTGGTGAGCATATGAGCATCACGGTGGCGGTCTCGTTCCTCCTGTAATCTGTAAGAAGCAATAAAATTTATTGTTAAGTAAATGTCTGAGGTAAGCTGTATTTCCCAGAAATGTGCTATAATACACAGAATGTTGAGTATCCCTTAAATATATTTTCTGAGCTGTAATTAATATTCAGCTATATATTCAAATTAACATGTGTCTGTATTAAGTCTCGCTCTAAATTTTGATACAAATATTAAACAGATGATCTTCCTTATATCACATTCCCATTGCTTAAAATGTGAAAAGAATCTTGGAACAGCTGATTTTATTGTAAATTTATGAGTTAGAATGCTGCATAACCAGGCAGTTAACTATGATTCGAATTAGATGTGAAAAAAGTTGTCAGTGGAACCATGGTTCCGGAGAATTTGCCATAAATACGTCTATACGGAAAGCAATTTTACATATTGGCTTTATTCTAAATATTTCCTTTATACATGCTTTACAATTGAGATAAGTTTGATTAAACATTGCTTATTTAAATTGAATTAGTTACGCTTAAGATGGGTCTGTGGTAGATGAATGTAATGTAAAGTAATGTAATTAAATGTTTTATAGGTAACAACAATGCCGAGTAAACAGATGACGTTTTCTAGGTAACAAAAATGCTTGAATGCTTAACTTGAATTAGTTATGCTTAAGATGGGTCTGTGGTAGATGAATGTAATGTTTATTTATTTTATTTAGTGTTCTGTCTGACGATAGGTCCATATGAACAGGATCCTTCCCTCCTTTTCTCGGCCTGGGACCTGTTCATATACGTTCTTGGCAGATGATCCAGCAGTGGTTTGCCATTGCCTTCTTCTGTGTGTGTGAATGGAGTAATTGTTGGGATGCCCGGGAGGAAAACTCCGTGTTGCCTAGACCACGGCCTTGCCCAACACAAGTTATAAATTCGGGCACCGCCGGGAATCGAACCCGAGACCCCAGGATTACAAGTAATGTAATGTAAAGTAATGTATTTTAGTGTAATGTAATGTAACGTTTCCTAGGTAACAACAATGCTAAGTAAACAGATGACGTTTCCTAGGTAATATAACAATGGATGCAAGCTGACCATTGTTGTCAGTCCATATTTACACATTGTTGATATAGATCTTACACGTTTTCCAGGGGTAACAACAATGCCGAGTAAACACGACGTTCCCTAGGTAACCATTGTTGTCAATTTGTTGATACGGATCTTACACATTTTCGTTCCACGTTTTCCTTTCACTTTTTTACCGAATGACCCTTCCGTAAAGACGTATTTACGTTAAAAAAAGGGAGATAGAGAGAGACAAGACAAGATTTAATATCAGAACTGTGATAATCTGGGGTGAACACAGAAGAACTTTACACTTTCAAAATGATACAGAAAACAAATCCAGTGTATATAGAACTTTACACCTACACCAGTCGACAGACAACTCCCAGTTACGCACACACCTCACAAAGTCAATATTTTCTCCGTGATCCATGGCAGATGTCGAGACAATAATCCAACTTATCCAAAACTTTGTGCAGTATGTCCCTAGGGACAGAAGCTATGGCAGTTATGATTCACTACCTCAGCTCTGGCAAAGACTGCGGCAGATGTGGGAAAAACACTTTTCCTTACGTGCAGCCCTACAAGTGAAGTCACACAAAGACTAGACCGGCGATCTCAAGGTAAGAGTCAAGATGCTTTCCACGAAAAAAGAAGAGGCCATAAATCTGTTACTTTGACATGCCACAAAACAATTTCACTTTTGGCATATCTTTCAAGCTGGAGGTTGACATGAGAATTTTCTCCCAAACATGGACATTATGCCAATTCATTTTACCACTGATGTGGAAAGTTGTCTTATCATTAGAAATGAGCCACGACAACAAATTGTCATTTCCAATCCTGGCCAGTGTCTTGTGGCAGAATTTATAAAGTACAGCCAATTCTTATGGTTTCAGAGCATGGACTAATTGAAGTTTATATTTTTTTTAGTAAACACACATTTTGGAGGTTATTGCTTGTGGTAGCTGCAACTCATGACTAACTTGGTACATTGATTTTTCAGTCTGCAGTTCAATAACTCATAGATAGTAACCAGGACTTGCCCTTGCAAGTACATCCTTTCTGGCAACATTTCTTGTACCAGATGTAAATAGATACTCATCTGAGTGGTTCCATGTGAAATCGTGTTTGAAATGTATGACGCACGGCTGTTACAGATTCTTTCTTCACTTTTGCAGAACACATTGATCACTCTGCTGTGGGATAGCCATTTTCAAAAATAGTGTCATCTGGCAGAGGCGCAACAATCACCCGCATCATTTGAAACAAAACGCCGAGAGATTTCCTACTGACTGGTATGGATGTGAAGTTCTAAGTATGCAGAATTTGTTGTCTACATAATTTTGAAAGTGCTAAGTTCTTTTGTGCTCACACTGTATATTCATTCACTAGCCTAATTCTAAAACTTACGTCTTATCTTGTGTGCGAAGTTCTTGGAGCTTATGTGCTGCGTTGTCTATGGGTGACAGATGTTCGTAAGGTTGGAATCTGTGCTCCTTGATGTTCTTCACAGCTTCACTCTCAAATGAAAAGTTGGGATCCCTGGCCAAGTAGAGTGGTAGAAATTAAGTTAATGACATTTACAACTAATGGAAACTGAGGATTAAGCCGTAGACCTAAGCATAAATGAGGATTTATATCTTTTTTTTTATATCTTAATTGCAGTTTACCGTCTCTTAATATCGGACACACAACACATCAATTACAACCCGATATAAAACATCCAAGTACAACCTCCAAATCAAAAGGAAGAGACAAAAAACTTAAAATTAAACAAATTAAAATAATCAATAAACGCAACGCAAAATGTACAACAGTTTTTAAAATATATTAAAATTGATAGACCTGATGATGATGTGATACACATTGAAACATGTCGTCGATACAAAAAATGTAACAAGATGCAGTGTCTACTGAGAATGTTATAATTTTAAATAATTTTAAACAACATTATTTTAAGTTTGTATATAGACGGAAAATAAAAATATTGTATCAATAAATGAGGATGTAATTTGGTTTTAGTATTTTTTTGCTAAGATGCTTGGAGATATTACTTTCAACTTCTGAAATCCCCAAATACAATGAACCTGATGTGTCGTTGTTGTTGCCATTAAAGGCAGAATTCTGTAAGACTGGAATGTTCTTTTTAGAGATAAAATGGTTATGGTGTGTGGAAATGGACTTACTGACTCTCAGGATAGGGTCCTGTAGCAAGATGTTGTGAGCATGGTTATGAAAGTGCTGGTGGTAGCATAGCTACTGGTATGGCCTCCCTAGCCAGATTGGTCAAGGGGGAGAGGTCAGACTAAGACAGGTACCCTGGTCCTCCAGGTTGGGGGTTGGTCGCAAGGCTAACAACCTTGCACCATAAAAAGGAAGATGTTTTGAAACCTCGATCAAAGCCACGGACAGACGGACCTAACAGAGCAGCGGAGGATAGGACCGAATTGAAGAGGAGAATTGAGGAGGCCATGGACCGAATACGGACCAGAGAGCCATAGAAGAAGAAGAAGAATAGTTATGAAAGTATGGGTCCATGTATGGTGGGGAATTTTCAGTCTTGCTGGGAGGTTATCAGTTCTTAAGGACTCTGCTCTACTGGTTTACTTACTAACTAAACAGATGGCTGAAGGTTCATCACCGAATTAACCAAACCCTGTCCTGTTCCAACAAAATCCAGTCTCCTTCACCTCCTTACTTACTTACACCATTATTTAATTTGTTTAACTCATTTTCTCCATCACATTTACAGATATATTAACAGAAATTGGTTTATAATGCATATTTTGCTTGTTGTTAATATCTCACAGTTTCCTAGTTGTATTTATGATGACTTTATCTTTCATCTAGTAGCAATGTAATTAACTGTCCATATGATAACAACCCCACCTCATTTCTACATATTGTTGTCCATACTTTCAAACACTGTGAAGTATTCATGTAACCCATACTATATAACAAAACAGAATTTAAAGCTCCAAATTATAAGGCTTCCACCCAGTCAGAATCCTTGATTCAATGGTTTAGTGATATACAAAGCCAGCTGATATGCATGGTTGCTGTGACTCATGAAGGCTAAGAGACACCATTAAAAATACATCCTAATACTCTTCTAATAGTTTAGTAGTTATATTCCTAACAAATTGCTCTTAAATATTATCTTGATATACCTGAAAGATTTTATTTTGCTCTCTGCAACCCTCATTTCCTTTGTTAGGTTGGCTGCTGCCACGAGTCTTTCTTCTAAAACTGTGAATCTGATGTCAACAAATTCTTTCAATTTGTTCTTAAACTGACGCTTGGCCTCAGGAAGATACTGTTTGATTTTAGTCTCCTGCAATGAAACATTTTACGGTGGCAGAGCAATTTTAGTAAATATGAGAACACTATAAAGCATACAGTACAAATGTTATTTTCTAGTGCCAAACCACAAGACATTTTAGCTGCTAAATTTATTAATTATACTTTATTTTACTTTGACTAAAAGTGACAACAAAGAAACATAATTTAATGGATTCTGATATAATACAATCCATTTCATGATATTCTAAGAAAGATTTAGGTTCGGTTCCCTCACATCAACGTAAGAAAAGGAAGTTTCAACAGAAATCATTCTACACTTGCTGTTGCTAACAATCAGGTTTTACATAACTTAAAGTTTCTGTGTGTAAATGACTCAATAATTAATGAGCACCTGTCAGACTAATACTAATTTAATTTCACTTTTCTAGATCCTAGAATCTACCTTTAGTTAGTTATTCTTTATGTTGGGTCTTATGACTTCAGTAAAATAACTGGGGAACTTTTCGACTAGCGAGAAAAAACTGCAAATGGTATTCATAATATCTGCCTCCAATGGAAAAAATAGCACTAGCTATGGTGGTCAGATCAAACATGGAATTTAGTCTGTTCCAAAACAAAAGAAATCTAGAACAAAATCCCACTCACAACATGCATTTAGCTTCACATACAATGTACTAAGCCCTAACACAAACAAATTTGAATGATTCAGATTTTTCTGTGTGAGACAGTATGTATGATTGTATGAAGGCACATGAACTGCATCACAACATTCATCAGACCACCAACAAACAGGAACCAAATGATGTGTGGATGACGAAAAGGCATTATGACAGATGGCAGCTCAAAAAGTTCTCATGAAAGACCTGATAGTGGAATCAGTCGACAGATACTGCCGGTCATAAAACCTGAATGTGACTTATACAGTCGATCTTCATTTTTAATTCGTCTGTATAAATGGACAAGTTCTTCTAACTGTACACTGTATACAGGTATTATAGGAATATGAAAAATATTTGCTGATGAGATGTGAATTTTATGAATCTACCGCATCTAAACATCTAAAAAATTTATAAATTTCGAATAAGAAGAAGATCAGTTGCGACAAACAAGCACAAACATGGCAAGTACAAGTAGAAAGTCAGCGTGGATATGGGATGATGTGGTAGGCACTCAACATGCAAAGGGGACCAGTATAGAAAATAAAAGGGAAGGCTTAAAATACAATGGAAGAAGGTAAGATGACAAAATTTCACAGCTTCCTCTAAATCCCAACATCAGGATGTGGACTGACTACTTTGATGGGTTCTACTTGTTATTTCAGTCTTCAGGCACTTAAATGTGGAAACATTTAAAACAATTTAAGAGGCAGAGTTACAAAACCTGTCTTCTGGGTTGTTGCGCTGTGTAGTCTGGTCGATGTTAACCAACGTTTCAGAGGTCATACTGCCTCCATCATGACCTCTGAAACATTGGTTAATATCGACCAGACTACACAGCGCAACAACCCAGAAGACAGCAATGTTTATACTCACCGCTGTGAAAACCTCAAATTTTACAAATATCCTAGACTTTGAATTCTAAAAATCCAACCTTATTTATTTTTAATTGTTCACTGTCAAGATATAATGAAAGTTAAGGTGAAAGCAGCCAAACAAGTTCCTTCTATTTTGTCTAAGTCCTTGAACACCATTTTCATAATAAACTTCTCTGTAATCAAAAATATTAAATATGTGTGTCATCCTGATCTTTAACAATACCTGTTGTGACAGTTTTTGAAGGACCCCATCCAAATCTCTGCATGCGCCATCAGAAAAATTGTTGAATTGTTCCTGTGAAGTTTTTTCTTCCAATAATTCATCATTAGCCTTTTGTGCCAGAGCATTTCTCACTTCTTCTTTATCTGCCTTCATCATATTCAATGCGTCTAACTCTGCGAGCCCATTCTAAATTAGATAGGTGAAGCAATAAGTGAATATGATTAAATGACCACCAAAGTGTGTGTAAACTTACAGTAAACACAGGTAGCCCTCGATTTACGCTGGGGATGCGTTCCTGGACGAACCGGCGTAAATTGAAAACTCTTTTATAATGTAAATCAATGGGAAGTCAATGACATGCGTTCCCAGCACCCAAACATTGACAAGTAATATAATGGCATTACATATAAAGCTCTGAATAACGTAAATAAAATAAAGGGAATTTAAAAAATATATTTTATACGCTTACAATCGGCATTGACTGTGATTCTTTCATGTGATTGATGTGTACAGTCATCTCTGCTGTTAAGCGATAGTTGCATTAATGTAAGACGCCGACCTATCGAAAATCGCGTAGTAAAAATAACCCCGGTACCTCCGCGGAGATTAAATTAGTCCTTTGAAAGTTTAAAGCGCCAAGAATGAAATTGCATAAGAGCAAACTCGCATATGCAAAAGTTTGCATTTCACAAACA